CTTTTTTTTAGCTTTTCTAGTCTTACAGAATTTGGATACTTCAGGATTTGGTAGAATTCAGGGATCAGGTATGGCATAGGCAGAGAATATGCATTAAACAGAGCTTCTCCTCAGCCAAGACTGGCCATATCCACCATACTGGCCTATTAGGCAGTTCTGTGGTCTAGCCAGCCTGGCTTTCTGGAGATACGTGTCTAAAAACTATCTGAAGATGATCCTGAGGCAGTGAGCAGAGGCATGAAAAGCAGTGTGTAAAGACACAGTGAAGTGAATGCTGCTATCACTTTGGTCTCTGATGGCCATAGCATAATTTAAGCACAAAGTCTATTACCTGACAGACAAAACCAAGGAAAAAACCTAATGTGCAATCTTTTCTTGCACTTGTGATAGAACAACTCTTGTCCTATTGTTGGACTCATTTTGCTCTTCACAAATCACATCTCTTTTCACAGGAACTGAATCAATCAGTACCTACTCCATTACAGATGCAAGCTCCATTTGCAAGCTGTTTGTTGAGTATAACCATCTGCTGCCCCCCCCCTTTTTTTTTTAAACAGCTCCAGATACACTACAAAATGTTAATATTTCTATTCTTGACTGTGCAAAGCAAAGTACAATAGAAATCAAGTTAACTATTTTAAGAAACAATGGCTCTTCCCAATATCTTTCCAGCACATACAAGCTAACAATTATGGTCAACTCCACAGTTACACAGTCCATAACTATCTGCCTAGACATTCCTCGGAGTGTTAATTCAGGCCAACAAGAAAATTTAAACGTCAGACAAACTCAGACAACTCCAACTAGCAGGTAAATTTGTCATTTCTGAAACTCAGCAGACTCGTCGCCTCATCACGCAATGAGGCTCCCCAGGTCCTGCATGGACGCGGATGAATGAAAAGGCCCCCAGAGGACTTGCGGTAAGGTACGGCGGCTCCCCCGGCCTCCCCCCGCGCTCCCTTTCCCTCCTCGGGTTACTGAATTCGCTGCCGCTTCTGGAGAGCTGCGTTTTGGGATCGTGTTTCAGTATGTAATTAGCCTTGCATAAAAAGAAAGACAAATGCCTCAGTGATTTTTTTTCCATGCATCAGCTACAAGTGGAATCATTGCTGTAAAGGGAGAAAAGAGAAAGTTTCCATACTAAAACCTCAATAAAGGAGGTTTGTTTCTTATGGATTACAGGATGTACAGACACTAAGAAAATATGAATTCCAGAAAAGTGTTCTAATTTTTATTAAAAAAAATCATGCTAAGGTTATGCTTTCAAAGTATGTTATCTGTGCAGAATAACAAAACTACCTGGAAATTCTGCTCTGTGGAAACTGGCTTCTAAATAGGTGAAAGACAATGGAGGAAAAAAACACATATTTTCGAGCTCTTTTGCAAACAGTCCATTTCCTTGCTCCTTATGTAACTGTAAGCCCTGGCGGGGAATTTCCAGCTGTGCCTTGTCAGCCCACGGACCGGGCTCATTGTGCTGCTTCTCGTCTCCCTTGCGCGAGCTGTCGAGCTCTCCAAGTAACTGTATTAGCCGCTTCTCGGCGCACAGAACAGAGCAGCGCTTTGTCCCCAGGGAAAGAAGCTATTTCAGACTTAACTAAGGAATCAGCTAGCATGTTTCAACAACCCCTACTGTTCCTCTCTTTGTTTTAAAGATACCAGTGTGCTTTTGTTTCATTTGCAACTGGAGACTAAATGACAGCAAGCAGAATCTGCTGTTAGGTTAGATTACAAGGTAAAATACATTTTGAATTTTAAATTACTGCTTAAAGCATGGTGTTGAATGGCTTAAACTACATGTTAACAGTGACCGTTTGATACTTTTTAAATATGTACAAAGTAATACGTGCTATTTTTAGTGATACTGAACATAAATGCTTTTCTAGAGAAAGTATGCAGTACCAGTTGATCTGCTTTTTGTTTGATATAAATGTTTGCCACACACTTCATGCTTAAACTAACTGAAAGTGTGATTATTTTGTTGGTATGGCTAAATGTAACTTACTTCTATGCAAGCAACTTAAAGAAGAGTAAGTGAAAATATTGATAAATCACTTTAATCCCTATGTATCATGAGAAAGGACCTGACAACTTGAAGATAATTGTATTTAAACTGAATATAGATTACTTAATAAATTCTGATATACTGGGTATTTTTAAAGGATCACTACTTTAAAAACAACACTTTCCATTATAGTAGCAAATAATAACAGAATGACAGATATTGAATATTACGAAAATCACAAAGCAATGAACACATTACATGCTCACATATCAGGATGCTGCTGTATTTTGCATGTTCTAAATATTTATGTGTAAAATAAAAAAAAGCATAGCGATGCAGTCATATTAAGAGTATCTGGCAACACAATAATTTCAATATGTTAGCTACCAATAGTTTTATCATGATAGACAGTGATTTATGGTAAGCCTTTGAAGTCAAATACCTTTAACTTGTTAAGATTTAAAAGTTGCCTGGCACTATACTAAATAAAGTAGCTTCCTGAGAGCTAAACTGAGGATTCTAGTCATGGACATGAAAGACCCAATGTCTTAAGGCCATTTTCCTGCAAGACATTCATACTTTGGGTCTTTTAAAGGTAAGTCACCACTGATTAAATAAGCCAAGAAAAGAAACTTGGAAAAGTATCACAGGGTTGTCCATGCAAGGAGCACCCTTTGGAGGAAAGCAGCAGTAGGAGGCTGTTGGTACTTAAGCATTAATACACTTAGTGTGAAAATACAGCATATAAACTCACATATATTAATATGTCTGGGTTATAAACACTTTTTTTTTTTGCAGATGGTGTTTTCTTCCTAGATTTGTAAGTACAATATATTTTATGAAAACAAGTTCCACTTTACAATAACTGGATTTGAAAGTTCTACTATTTTCTGTTGCAGTTAATGGGGAAACACTGAGGCATGCTTGTACAGTAAATATAACATAATTCATACTCTATTAATCCTGACTTTTTAAAAAGCATGCCTGAAGAATGCGAGAGTATTTTCCCTGGATTCAATACATTTCATGCCTCTGATGGCAGGAGTATATGATTAAATGCTAAACAAACAAACTCACTCCTATACAATTTAGAAGTGATTTAGATATTGCAGTCACAGCATTACAAAGTGTGCGAAAATGTAGCCATAATTAATTAGGCTCTCCCTCGTTTAACAGAAGGTATACACATGGTCACGACTTTTCTCATCGTTTTCCCGGCAGCCTCTTGGCACATTTCATTACAACATGCAAAGCAGAAGTTTACTTTGCAAATTTTACAGTCAGTCACTACTATATACGAGTTAGAAAACAGAAACATTAGGTCACTTTTCCTGCAACATGAGGTACTAAGAAATGAGCCTTTCTTCTTTCTGGAAAAGAATATATGTCATCAATACAACATACAAGCTCCCATACCTACCTTATATGTTAACTATCTTTAATTTCTGTAAATAAGACAGTATATGGTCTATATAGCATTTTGGATAATGGCTGTCTAATCAATAGAAAGAGATCTGCATATACCAAATTCTGAATTATTTTCACAACCCTGTTATTGTTACATCAGTCATTACGATAGAGAAAAATTTGGCGACTTGTAGCAAAGACCTGACCTATTATACAATCAGAAAGTACCAAAGTAACATATATATTTTTTCAACTGGTTCAGGCAATAACACAGTTCTAGTCCCTCAAGCAATCCTATAGTCTATTTATACCATGTAAGTAATATAGTAGACTAACTCCAGAGAGAAAGACTACATATAAAGCCTGGCTGACAGCCATTAAGGAAAAGCAGTCTTAAATTCCCTCAAGACTTCCTTAGAGAAAAGCCATGGCCTTGCTCTCAGCCTAAGCTTGGGCACCGAGATGAAGAGCTCTAAGCACCAAGTTCTCATCGGGGAGAGCTATTTCTCAGCATCACAAGGATACGAGTATCCTCGGTCCTTGCAGTTCCAATTAAACGGGCTGCAAGACAAAAGCGATTCAAATGCCTGTTAGCTTCTTTCTGAAATAACTGTGACCAGCTCTGAGTGACTTGGGCCATGCCCAGCCTGGCTGCGCCTGGCACAGCAGGCTGGAGGTGCTGGGCATCCTCCTCACCCCTGCTGCCCTGGTGTCGAATGCCACCTATCGGCGACAGGGAAGGTCATCTTCCTCTCTGAAGCTCAAGATTATATAGCAATTTTGAATCTCTTAGCAAACCAATGCAGAACATAACCTGTTACAGATTACGTACTCTTAAAAACCTCCCCTGGAAACATGCACGTGGTGTATCAGAAATAGTGCTGCTGCAATCAAGCCTCCCAACAGAACCAGAAGATTCTATGAAATGTGTGTGGATGGCTCCTCCGGGAGCAAAGCAACAACTCTTTTCATCTCCAGTGAAAAATGTCTTGCACAGAAATGATAAAAGAAGAGGTTTGGGGGCAGAACATCTGGAAATGAATTGCCCGGTTTTCCAAGACTTTGCCATTTCCATGTTCAGCAGTCACAACAACCTGGAAGATGCATTAGGGATCAGAAAAAGAAAGCAGCCTGACAGCTCCCTGGAAATCCC